TCTGATCAGCCAATAAAATTTAATTTTGACTGTGTAACAAGGAACAGGAAACAGGAACGGAACAACTTTGAACACCCTTATTGTTTGCCATGAGAAAGAGTTACATATTTTATTATAGTTGCATATATAAATATATTTTAATGCATTCATCTTGGTCTTGGACAAGTAATATCTTTGAATTCATCTTTCACAAATGGACAAATATTCTGGTAAAGATATTCTTGTCTTTTATAATCCAAAGGAGGGGGTGTTAACACTAAAATAGATAAAGTTCTAATTTCTTCAAAAATATCTACTTTCTTGGTTTCAATAAATTAAATTTAGTAAAAGTTCCATTAGCAACTTCCTGAGTTTTGACCACACCAAGGTTAGATGCTTCAAAAAGAAAATGTTGATATTTCTGTATAATTGGTAATAAATTCCTAAAATAGATTTGATACCCAAGTATTGAAAACCTTTTCCACCTTCATAACATTGAGCTTTATTTAATCCTGCTGGACTTGATCTTTTCACAACTTCTACAACATGGTCCACACAATCTACACTTGTTTTCCTATAGAGTTTTTTAATCAATCCAAAACTACCATCACATTTGAATTTGGTATGTCCAGGAATCATGAAATTCAATTCAACACTTTCATAATATCCACAAATTACCAAATATAAATAAAACCAAATTGTTACATTATTTTTATTTTGACCACCTGCATTATCACAAGTAATCTTTAAATGCTTTTCACCTTTATTTAATTTTTTGATTCCATCAAAAATTATGCTAAGTGTGCCATTGGGCCCTTTTCCTATAATTTCATCTTCATTAAGAACATAATTGATTTGTTCCCTTACTGCTTCATCTTGAATACCAAACAAATGAACTTTACATGGACTAAGATAATAAATTTTACTTACTTGCTGATCTGAATGTGGCACATGAACATTTTGGGCTCAATCATAACTATAATGAGCAGTGGCGTCAATACTGCAATATGGTGTTTATATTCATTCAGAATTGTTCGGACAATATCTGAATATCATTCATGTGGTTGATATCCGAATATCATGAATACAAACACTAGCAATACATCAGAAAAAATACCCAAAAATACATATGTAAAAGTAAACACGATTATATGTATATATGTGAAATCAAGACACCAGGGATTGCTTTATTGATACGGGATAAATAAAAAATAAAGTACAAGATAAAAAAAAATAAAAACAAATTATGATCCAAGTAGAAAGTTTATTCGGAATCTACAGTTAAACTGCTCTCCTTTTGTCTTTCAGATTTAGGTGTGGAGCCATGTGATAATAATGACATGTTAACAATTAAAATATTACGAAATATCAATAAAGTTTCTATAAATTTTGCTACAATTGGAAAGTCAGAATATTGTATAGTAATAGGTATTTTCAATCCATGTAAATGGTAATGATGTTTCACATTGGCTACATCTCTAATAAGTACTGTTAAATGTAATAGAGATCTTGCAACTTGTAATCCAATTACTCCAAACTTGTCTTTTTCAGGTCTACAGCTTTTATATGTGTAATACATCCCATAATTGGTCTCATGCCATAGTTTTACAACACCATATTCTATTTTCATGAGGTACAAAATAAACGAGAACACTCAGTATAAATAAGTTCGTATTTTTTACCTTTATTTTTCATGACGAATATAATATCCGGTCGTTGTCCTGATGACCCTCTCCTCTTCTATCGGCACTGGAAATGCTTTGACGTTCAAATCTATAAAAAATAGATCACATCATATGAGTATCTTTACTATCATTACTTCGTAAGAAAAAAATTTATAATCATTTATTTTTTACATGTGCTAATCTAACAAGGCTTCCCATATGGGAGATTCCTTAATGAAGCTTGAATTGCCGGTACTATCATGTTAGTCTCAGAATGTTCCGGACCAAATTCTGGATTATTCCAAGAATTATTTCTAAAAAAACTTATTAGGAGATTTAACTTTAATATTAAAGGAAATATAAAATTCCGCTTGTAATTTCATCTAATTTTATATTATTTTCCCATTATGAATAATTGCCATTGGGAGCCGATTGTTGTCATGTGTAAAGAACTCGTTATTAAACTCGTTATATTTATTTTCAACAACCATTTCTCGTACCGGTTTCTAAAAATAAATTGGATTAATATGTATTACCTTGTTGCATAAAGTTCTGAAAATTTTAATTATATTAGTATTTACCATAAATATTTCTTTCAAATGTTTTGGTGGATTTTTAAATACACTCGAATCATCTGAAATAACTTGACTGCCCAACGGATCTTTCCATGTCGGGTCTGGTATAGATACATTCCTAACTTCTGAAAATAAATGTTGATACAATGAGCTAGTATCTTTGATTTCAGCTTATTAATATTGCTTCTAATTTGATCCGGATTAAGAGGTTTCTCGTCATTCACTTTTACAACCCTAATTTCTGGAAATTTTCATTGCTAATGCAATATATATATATATATATATATATATATAAGTTGAGAATTACACAAAGGACATGTTGCTTAGCTTTATGGATGATAAATACTTCTCATACTTTTTCTTTGTAATTGCAAATGATTCTCTAAGAAATAAAATAGAATTCAGACAAATTCATGAATAGATTACAGTAATGAAAGAAAATACATGCTAATGTTAATTTAGTATTTTTTAAATAAAATAATAAATATATTTATTTATTATTACAATTATATTTTATATTTTGTAATGTAACGATGGGCTAATCAAAATTTTCTTTTTCCGTGATAAAACCAAAAACGTGATCAATAAAATATATGGCCAATTATACAAACATCTGCTATGTCTAAGAGGTAACCATTGATTTGGAAACTAATGCAAGAGATGTAGGACGCAATTTGCGACATAAGACGTAACTCAAGACGCAACTCGGGGCAATTCGTGATGCACAAATTTGTACTAAGGATTGGGAAAGTTTTATACAAGAATTATTCAAGGTATGCCATATTTGGAGTTTGTTGGTACTATATACTTTGGTTTATAAAGAGTACATATTTACTCGGAAATTTAGTACAAATTGGACTTAAGATTCTTGTTTCAACCAAGAATAACCATTTATTAATCCATTAATAGGAGATGTTAAAATTACATGTAGTGTCTTTTAATATTGTTTTACATCATTTTATTTAATTAATGATTTAAATTGAGACGGATCTGGTAAATCTCTAATATATTTAATTTATGGATGAGGTGTGACGCAATAAGATTGGCGTTCATAATTATCAGCTAACCTCTTTACATGCTTCTGAAAATAAAAGTGTGACGAAATTGTTAGATAAAATTTTACATAAACTTAAAATATTAAAGACAAAACAAAAACACTATACTTCTATTGATATAAAATGCGAGAGCGTGGATACCAATAAAGGTAGTGATTGTTGGTTAACAACTAATTGAGTGTTTAGAAATGGCCAGACTCTATACAATCCGTCATAATTTAAATCAATAAAATATGATTCGACTTTTTCAGCTAAATTTTCAAATGAATTATTTAATAACATGACAAGGAATTTTATAATAAATTTTTATAATAAAAGTATACATACCCATATTGATAAAAAAAACACTCATTCGGACCCCCTTTTTTATTAATTAATTGATTTATAGATTTCTTAGCCCTGATATTTGCTTTTACAAAATCTTTATTTTTTTGCAGATCAGTATATTTAAAAGGTTTTACTTCCGAATTTAATATAGATATACCATCAACTGTACAGGAAAAATCTGGTCTCTTCTGTGTGTCATTAACCTTTCTATTAATATGTAATTGATAATTTTTATATTGGTTGCAAAATATAGGTTTTGTGATAGGATCTACACAGGAATTTTATTTTTACTAAAATACATTACAAACTTAATATTAATTTTTTAGTCAATTTATCTCAATCAAGATTTTAATAGAAATTAACTTACAAATTATCAAATGCATTTGCAGCAATTTTTGTGGTGTTCGATGGTGGTTGATCATCAAACATATGTTACATCAATATAACAAATTATTATGTGCGGATTTTTTTA